GTCTTTGGGTGATAAGCCACCCCTCAAATAGACAAAGATCTCATTTCGCAAAGTAAAATCTATTGACGTGGATGATTTTAAGGCTGATATGCTAGCTTCTGACCTATGTGAAGACCTGGCCTCCTTGGATATTGACGACCTTGTCGTTAGCTACAATGACGCCCTGCTCTCCACTTTAGACAACCATGCACCTCTTCTCACCAAGTCAGTCGCAAAAAGACCAACTGTCCCCTGGTTCTCTAGGGAGGTTAAGGCTGCAAAGTTTGCTAGTCGGAAGGCAGAGAGAAAGTTTCATGTCATCCTTTTTTTCTGCCGGAGRTGCCGAGAAGGGCAAAGGAGCCTTACAAGATCCAGCTTTAAGTTTGACAGCGATGCATCAGGCMGCCGATATGTCACTATTGCCAACGACGAGGYATCGAAAAACCATCCTGGTGGTCTTAAAGACAAAAGCAGCAATGAAAAACTCGCACGGATGTACGAAGGCAATCACCAGCATGATGGCTACAAAGCGTTGATATTGGCTACAAAGCTCCATCCAGATTGTCAGTCATTTTTTCAATATCCTTAGAGGAATTGGAAGCCTTCAGACGAAGTTTGGTTTTAAAACCGTCCACTAGGAGTAAATAAATTAGACAACATGATGAAGGAGATTAGCAAATCCGCCGAGTTGTCCCGTATTTACACCAATCATTGTGTTCGTGCTACGGCCATCACATTGTGGTCTGATGCTGGAGTCGCCAACATAAACATAATGGCTATATATGTCCATAGATGTGAACAAAGTTTAAGCAACTACAACACTCGTCCATCGACGGCACAGCTTCATCATTGCAGCGATGTCCTTTCAAGACGCCTCGACCAAAGTTCATGCATCTTCAACAGGTGCTATTGTCAGTCAGCCTTCCCTTCAAGTCCCTCAACTTTTACGAGTTGCTGCGGCTGTTCAACAGAATAATTTGCTCCTCCATGATGTCCAAGGAAGTGCTCCACAGAATATAGGCATTGGGTCCTTGTTCAGCAATTGCTCCTTTGAAAAGTTTGAATTTGTCTTATCCTCGGTGAGTAAGAATAACCACTTTTAGTTTGAAAACAAAAACTCTCGACAATGTCGAAATTGCTTTAGAGTATGGACATTGAAATCAACATATTTATGCCAATTTGAGCATTTTTTCTTCATTATTTTGATTTAAAATGACTCCACTCGCTATATATTATATGCCTTGTAATTATAACTTTTGCAAATTTTCCAAACTTACCGAGTTTTCAGGTTGTCAATAGATGAAAACGCCAGGCGTCCCAAGCGCGCGTAATTTTAGGAGAATTTGTCATTTGAACAGACTTTATTTGTAATAAAAAACAACTTTTGTGTGTAAAAATACGTTGTCTATGTTATAAAAGAGATAGTTCATAGAGAGCGTGCGTATATACAGTTCTACATGCACGCTCTGTCATGTTTACTWCCTTGTGCAGCTTCGGAACGATGCGAGCAATGAGAAAATAAGATTTTAAATGCTGTTTACACCCCCTGAAATTGATTTGCGCACAAAGTGCACCCCAAATTTGGACTCTTCGTCCAAAATTACATAAGAATGGACCCTTTTCAGCTGCATAAATAGTGTTATTACCAAAATATTATTATAATCATATAAACCTTTTAGAATTACTATAGGTCAAATGTGAGGTCAGTCAAGGCCATGAAGCCATATTGGCTTGGACATTTGATATGTGAATGCTGTTGAGCTTGATATTTGTCAATTTTCAGGACTCGAGAGCAAAGTCAAGATGTACATTGAAGTTCTGCTTGACAAACTGGTCATTAAGGCTGTTTACTTGCTTTATGTGTTCCAGTCCTCCTCGGTCAAATCAATGGTAAGCATTTAGAGTAGGTTTGTGATGTTGTATTGAGACGGTTTCTTCGCTGAGACTTTTCARGTGCAATAGAGCATCAGACTGTCATGTTTACTTCCTTGTGCAGCTTCGGAACGATGCGAGCAATGRGAAAATAAGATTTTAAATGCKGTTTACMCCCCCTGAAATTGATTTGCGCACAAAGTGCACCCCAAATTTGGACTCGTCGTCCAAAATTACATAAGAATGGGCCCTTTTCAGCTGCATAAGTAGTGTTATTACAAAAAATATTATAATTATATAAGCCTTTTAGAATTATTATTATTCCTTTCGAAAGTTTTTTTTCAAACGTTAAATCAGCTTRCCTTCAGTGACTAAACGCCTTATCAATCCAGCCTTCAGCTCACAAATCATTTTWATTGCCGTAACCCTTCAAATAGACGACTCTTAGCTTATTTGTGCTAGCATTTCTCCTTATAAAGCAAAAACTTAGCCTCACCGCCGTCGGCCATGTTTGTMCGCCATATTGACACGGGGTACATAGTTCCYAGTCCCTAGAGAGCCATAGTAAATAACAAGGTCACGTGACCAGGCTATGTGCTAGATCAGGCAGGTAATTTTTTGTGAAAAATCGTCGGAATAACCCAATTTCAATTAATACAAMAAGGGGAATGCACTAAAGACCGAAATAATACTGTTCGACAAGTTTCAAACGCAGAGGAAGCACGGCATTTTGAGATTTTTCGACTGCCTGACGTTTAGTCCCAGTTCACATCCAGCCGGTGAAAGATAGTGCAGGGACTATAATTAGTCCATTGTTTCTTCATTTTGAAGTGATAATTATTAGGATATTTGATAGGCAGTTAAAAATAATAATAATTGGTTCACAGTATAAATA